CCTTATCCTGGCAGTTGAATGAGAGACAAGGAGAAGGAGAACAATCAACCGGAAGCCGAAGTCAAACCTCTGATCCTGGGTTGCTTACTTGGAAGTTTGACTGCTTACCTTGTCTGTCACCTCTTTCGGCAGATCTCCTAGCTCGGCGACTTGGGGGACTCCTACTATAGGGTTTGTATCACACTTGACTAAGCCCGAAACTACAACTAAGCTTCAAGTGAAATTGATACATTACCTTGTGCGTCAACATCAGCTAAATACACCATTCCCGGATGGAGGAAAGGTACTTCCAGAGAAGGGCAGATAAAGATCAGACCACACTTCGGTACTTAGAAGTTTCGTGATTACTCAAGGGATTGGATCTTGCAAGTCCCCAACCGAGGAGTTTCCCTCACTCGGGAACTTAGGGGAGCACTGTTTGTACCATACTTGACCAATCCCGAAACTACCGAGCACCGGCCAACGCTATATACTGTCAAGGACCCAGAAGAGTTCCCCTCCGACCAGGAGGCCAATCACTACTCGACACGTGTCAAGATTAGAAGCCAATCAGAGCGCAGCACGTGTCGACATCAAGAACCAATCATAACATGACACATGTCAATGTGACAAAGCTACAAGTTTTTCTATAAATAGGGGTCATTCCCCCACAATATTGCCTAATGCCATTTGTGTTAAATCATTCACAAGAACTCACTAAATTGAGAGCTTGATCCCTTGTACTTGTGTAAGCCCTTCACTACTAATAAGAACTCCTCTACTCCGTGGACGTAGCCAATCTGGGTGAACCACGTACATCCTGTGTTTGCTTCTCTGTCTCTATTCATTTACGTACTTATCCTCACTAGTGACCGAAGCAACCAAGCGAAGGTCACAAAACCTGACACTTTCTGTTGTACCAAAGTCTTCGCTGATTTTGTGCATCAACAGAGTGAAACACATTAACCTACAAATATGAGTGAATGAGTGTATGCATTGTGAGAAGCTCACTTGTTTGCATATGATGATTTTAAGAAGCTTGGAATTGCATTGATATGGTTATTACACACACTACACTCCAAGTTGGTTCATTAAAATTTGGTTAAAGCTTGGATAATGTCTTGAACTACAGTTGCTTATTTCTTGAAAGTTATCTCATGGTTGGTGTTTTCTCTAAGATTAAAATTTGGGAATTTAGCTAAAAATTTGTTGTGTTTTATTTTCTTTTGTTTTGCTCAAGGACAAGCAAAATCTAAGTTTGGGGGTATTTGATGGGTGCATATTTTCACATATTTTTATCATATACTTGCTTTGGCTTTTGTATATATGAATGGGTTAAATGCACTAATTTATATTGTTTTAATTTATAGGCATTAAATATTGGAGTTATGCAAAAATGAAGTGAAAATGAGTTTTTTGGGTGTCTAGAGTAATTCTAGTGGAGCAAGGGGCTAATTAACTGCACCAAGGCATATGCATTACAATAAGAAGATGAGACTGCAACAATTTTGGAAATCAAATGGACATGGAAGTGCTATTCAATGGATTTAAGAAGAGACATAATTATTTGTTTTTATTATTTCCGTTTATTTTCTTTTTATTTAATAAGAACTTAAAGTGCATTAGTTAGGATTTTAGTGGGGTTAAATTAGTTTTTTTTTTCTTGTCTTTGCCGTGGGTGTTATAAGGAGATTTCTTCTCTTTGTGATGCATTACTAAAAAAAAAAACATCAACAAATTTTCCCATAGGGGGGTTGCGGCAAGGAAGGGCGAAGAGGAAGAGCTACATTGGAGTTTTTCTTTACTAGGGCTACGATGTAGCCTAGTCATGAATACTCAATTGCCTTGTGACATTGTTATTATCAAGTTTTTCATCTTTATTGAGTATCTTTTGCTAATCGTAATGTGTTTCATTTTAATTTAGATGCTTGATCACTATCTAGGTTTACATTAGGTTGATTTGATGCAAGTTAGAGTAGATGCCATACTTAACTTGGGTGTAGCTTCTTGCAATTGATACCATAAACACCTATTTGTCGATGTCATGCAATTAGGGTTTGTGTGATTTTTCAACGATTTCCATAGAGCTTAGTGGGTTCTTACTTGTTTAAATCCATCTAGATGTCATAGAGGGTTAACATGTAAGGATACTTTTGATGTAACCAGATGCCATGGTTGTTGAATAATTTAGGGAAAATTGATCATCAATATTGGGGAACTACTTGAACATAACATATTAAGGGAATTAAGTAGGATTGGTTACGGTGAATTCGGATGCCCTAAGTCTTCTTTTCTTATGTTTTCAATTTATAATTTACATGCATTTTATTTTCAAGCTTTATTTTATTTTAGTTTAATTTCAAAGTTTCATATCTTTTCCATCAAAGCTTCTCCACTATGATTTGTTTCAATTTAGTAAGTAAGACATTAGAATCAACTCGATCTCTGTGAGATGATATCCGTGCTTATATGCTATACCGTCATTTGATTCGTATATTTGTGAGCACAAAAATTCGAGACTTAATGAGCCTAATTTCGGTTATCTAATTTTCGCAACAGTGTGGAGTAGCGAAAATCCTAGAAATTAATTAACTAATTTGTTTCAACATCTTGGGTTTGAAAACCCTAATTGCTTCTAAATTATTTCGATGTTTTGACTCACAAATTCCACGTAGCATAATTGCGTATTGCATGAACAAATATATATATTGACAAAATATATGAACAATATGCAATATATATAATTGAAAGGAAAATATAAATATATGGGGTTCATGCATCATTGGGAATGTTTCTGCAGTTCTAGTTTCAAGGAAGGAGGAGAGACTTTCTCTCTCCAAATCCCATAAATTTCCATAATAATTGCTCCACTCAGCCTTTATTTCATTTTAAATACCCTATAAATACTCCACTCAACCCTTTATTTTCCTTTAAATTCCCATAATTATTATTTTATATCATTTTAAATATCCTATAACTACTTCACTCAGCCTTTATTTCCTTTTAAATTGCTTATAATTGCCACATTCAGCCTTTATTTTGTTTGAAATTTTCCTATAATTGTGACCACTCATCCTTATTTTTCTTGAAGTTATCTATAATTGCGTATAATAAAATAAATAATTATAAAATTTTGAGACAATATGACATAGTTTCCAAGTACAACTAGACTTAGTAATAAAGAAGATGATATTATCTTTGATTTAGTTATAGTTATATTTGTTTTTACAAAGTATTATATTGTTATAAATATGGATAAGAACATGAAATTATCATTTTAACCCTCTAATTAAAACAGAACATCAATAAGAAATATGGGACAAAAATGTAATTTCACACAACCAAATTTTGTTTTTTTTTTAAACCTCACATACATGTAATCCTAACATATCTCTAATTAAAAAAAATAAAAAAAAACTTCCCACTCCCACATTCTCTATCACTCTCTTCCTCTCTCATTCTATTTCAAAAAAAAAAAAATATATATATATATATATATATATATATTTCTCACACACTTTGTGTGCCCATATGCTAGTATATATTAAAATTTTAGGTTATGTGAGGCTTTGCCTCGCTCCTAGACTCGGCTATCCATTGGACGTCTCGGCCACGCCCTGCCTTTTAATACTTTGGGGTCAGCGTACTACCAATACTCACCACCACCACCTTCTTAGTATGTCGTCTGAGCCATTCATTTCGGTCTGATCAGAAAATACAAAAAGAAAAAGGCCGACGATGGGATAGGAGCAGATGTTGGATTCGACAGCTGAAACTACCAAGTTGCGAGTGTTGCTTTTGGTTCGCTCGGTTCTCATTATCTCGGCTATATATTCTAGTCTGCAACTTTGGACAGAGCAGAATATAGGAAGGATCTGGGCATCCGAGGGGTTATCAGTCGTGATCAAGTCATTTTGCTTGAGCCTTTTACCTTATATGTTGTTGTTTGTTTATTGGGTTCCTTTTGGTATGGTCAGTGGCTTATTGCGAAAGGAATTGGTAAGGTCAGTGGCTTATTGCAAAAGGAATTGGTACAAATTAATATTAAATTTTAATCCGAGGGGTTATCAGTCGTGATCAAGTCTCTAACTGCTTCTAAAATATCCAAGTCTTTACCTGTTCTAAAAATTATAATACAAGTCTTTACCTGCTTCGATTATCCGCGGGGAAAATCCAAGACCAGTTCATTATCAGTCTCTCTTGCTAATCTATAAATACAGAAGTGTCCCCATGCATAATTTTCATCCATCTCGAAGCAACTCATCATCGGATCATCTAGTTAAATACAAGTTCCAAGTCCTTGCTAATCCCCTATAGACTATAGCTAGCGATGAAAGGAGTTCATTTCCCCGTAACTGCTGCTGCCCTGTCAGTATTAGCATTCGCCACCCTCCTTGCCTCTGCCTCTGATCCCGGTCCTCTTCAGGACTTTTGCGTAGCAATTAATAACACCGATTATGCTGGTACGTATACTTATATGTTTTAATTATATAAAAACAATATCCTTAATTAAGATTCCATTCAGTACAGAGAGTATGTAGGAAATAGCAAGGCCTAAACCCTAACTATATGATTTTGCATGGCTGATAGCACATCGTCCATGCATGTACAACACCTACGTACATAAAAAAGATTAATTTGCTTGTGTGTATCATTGCGAGTAGTGTTTGTGAACGGGAAGTTCTGCAAGGACCCAAACCTTGCATCAGCAAACGATTTCTTCACTGACAAGCTCCGGTACCCCGGAAACACATCGAATCCGGTCGGTTCAATTGTTACGGCGGCGAACGTGGATGTTATACCCGGACTCAACACTCTCGGCATATCCTTTGCTCGCGTAGACTTTGCTCCAAATGGCCTCAATCCGCCTCACACTCACCCTCGTGCCACGGAGATCTTCATAGTCTTGGAAGGCTCACTCTACGTCGGATTTGTCACATCCAATATTGAAGGCGACGGCAATCGGCTGTTCACCAAAGTGTTGTACAAGGGAGATGTGTTTGTATTCCCATTCGGTCTCATTCACTTCCAACTCAATGTCGGAAAAACCAATGCTGTGGCCATCGCCGCTTTCAGCAGCCAGAACCCGGGAGTGATCACCGTTGCGAATGCAGTCTTCGGATCCAAACCTCCCATCAACCCTGATGTTTTGACCAAGGCATTCCAGGTGGACAATAATGTGGTTGATTATCTTCAGAAACAGTTTTGGTACAATAACAGTTAATCAAAACGACTCACAAATTATATGAAATCTAATATTAAATAAGAAGATCATGGTTTGATTTGATTATGTAATGATGTACCAATCTTCCTCTATAGCCAGTCTCCTTCCGACTCTGAGGGATGTCTTGAGCATAATTTTAATACAACAGTGATGTGTGTTATTTATCCCTAAATCTCTTACTTGGAAGATTTTCTTTGTGGGTCAAGGTCTTACTTGCAGTTTGAACAATCGAAAAATGAACATAAATAAATATAATATATCATTCGATTCAACAAAATTATCATGACCACCTTCGATAAGAGCAAAAAGGCAACAAATGAACAAACCTCACCTTATTGCCATAAGAACACCGTATCAACCAAGAGAGAAGAAAAAATTGGTTCCAGCAGCATATCCGAGCCGAACCCGACCACCAAAAGTTGCAGCCACAAGTCTTATCGAAAACTAAATCTGCTGGGCCTAGAAAATTTATGCTCTGTCGATCAAACCACATCTGCTCTTCCCACCAACCATCAAGTACAAAAGAGAGTTTAAACTTACTGTAACACAGAGATCATGATCATTCGACACCTCAAACAAAATGATCTGCTCGACTCTTCCAAAACAACAAACAATCTGCTTCTCGAATCCACTTCAAACAAGCAAATGTGTTCCTCCAAACCACCTCGCCCCAAAATTGATCAGGGCACCTAAATTTCTCTTTGGGTCAGTATACTACCAATACCCACCACCACCACCTTATTAGTATGTCGTCTGAGCCATTCATTTGGGTCTGATCAGAAAATACAAAAACGAGAAGGACGACGAAGCATGCAGCACTAATAATGTGGCCGGCTGCTAACCATCTCAGCTCAGACTGGAGACGCCACCGTTCTGATCCTCCAATTTTCCCTTGAAAATAATGGGTCTGGTCACGCCACTACTCTCCTTGTTCATTCGTCTTGGCTGAAACCTCCAAACGATAACAAGTTTCTCCTAGCTAGCTAAGAACAAGTTTTCTCTCTTTAATTTCGTTCAAGTAGAATAGCAGAATAAGTCAAATACGCCTCCTACCTAATAACATAGTCTATTAACCAATTATATGAAATTGAAGCGGACCAAGTCATATACAAATACACATAAACTTGGCTATTCATACTACCATGTCAACCAAAACGAGGCCATCCGTGATGAGGTCGACTCGATCATTTACAAATACACTTAAGCTAGGCGAACATTTTAGGTGGTTCGATTGTAACACACCAGCCACTTCACCCTAACCAGGCTCAATCATTTTGCTCTGCTTATATTTGATAGGCATTGTCAAAAATGGCGATGGGGGAGGAGCATGGTTGGTATGCGCCGGGCAGATGTTGGGTTCGACAGCTGAAACTACCAAGTTGCAAGTGTTGCTTTTGTTACTCGGTTCTCATTATCTCGGCTATATATTCTAGTTTGCAACTTTGGACAGAGCGGAATATAGGAAGGATCTGGGAATCCGAGGGGTTATCAGTCGTGATCAAGTCGGCAAGTTGTATAAATTTGTGTTTTCATGGTCAATTTTAATAGAGGTGCTCTGGACTCGTGGGTGTTGTCTTTGGGCGTCAGTCAGTCATCATCTCGAGGCACGGATCCTCGAGTCTGGTGACTGCTCGGATCTTCTGCTCGGCTGGGGGCTTTTCTCCAACACTCTCTCCTTCTCTCCCCAACCTCTCGGTAGAAAGGCGTATGTATATATGTACATACTCAAATATAATACAAATCTATAGCCCAATTATAGGTGAACCGCTCAAATATATAAACATCATGAAATGAAAGGTTATATCAAAGAATCGTTGGATTAGTAACTGCATCCAATCTTCAAACTCAGCACTATTTACAGATTAATGCTACGAGGAAAATTATATACACACATTTGTATAACCTGAAACACAAAAACAGAGAGGAAAGCTATATATACACAATACATATTTATGGGGGTTCAAACCAGTGTAAGCGAAAAACAAAAGGTCAGGAAAAGGTTGGTAAGGTAACTCTTTCTCCCATCTAATGTTAAATATGCTTAATTTGGGAAGACTACTCAACGCGTTGTACGCGTTGTACGAGTTGTTAAAATGAATTAATTAAGACTTTACGAAGTCCTCCAGCGTCGCCGGGAGAGGAAGAACTCATAGTCCGGATGCCTGTTTACAGATGTCGTACTTCCTTTGCTCACAACAGCTCTTGCCATAAGCGATGCTGTCTCCTCAAGTGTCCTCAAACGCTCTTCTAGTACTCCACAAGGGTTTAAACCCGGTGGTGTTACTGTTGTCTGCCTCGATGCTGAGGGCCTTAACTTGAACCAGCATTCAGCCTGTGCACGTGCGACACAATATATATTAATTAATAAGCGCAGCAGCTTTTACAATATGCCTTAACTATGCCACAGCTGCGCAATATTTGTGCATCTATGCACTATTAGCCATGACTACCTGAGCATTGTAGCTTTGCAGACCCACAACTGGAGATACAATACAAGTATCCAAGATATGAGACTCAAATTTGGTACTTCTATGGACCAAATGACCGAGTGAATGGTAAGTCAGAAATGCTGCACGTAAGTTACCATCAGGTATCCGGTAAATTGGATACCATGCCACTGAGTACCTGAAAATTCAGATGGCACTTGAAAGTTATGTACTAGTTAGAATTCGCTCGGCATCAGTTGTATTACTAATAATTTTGCTTCGTTTTGTGAAACTAACAAAGGTCGATTACAAACACATATTTTACATTTTAAAGAGACTGAAGCCAGTTTTATTACTAACCAGGATCTGGGATGCAGATCATTTAGATTTATAGAGTTTAGATTTGTTGGATCTCCATAAGCTTTAGAATGTGACAGTCCATCACCTCGTACCAGCTCTTTTATCCTGAAATGAAGGGCAACAGATATAAGATCTTCAACAAATACATAACGTTCCTTATGATCTTTGACGAGCTACAAAGTAAATACTGCATCGTTTTAAATGACAACTTTAGTAAAAAATAAAAAAGGATACTTACTTGTCATATAAAGGTCGTCTAACCTGAGGTTGTTCTGATTCAAAATATTCAAACAGTAGCTCTAAATCACGGGACTCTGTTGTGCCAGTTAATCGAACAGATACATCTCTGGCATAAGCAGAAGATTGTTCTGAAATACACAGTTGATTTACAATTGGTGGAGTGACCGCATCTTCCTTATGATCAGGCTGAGGAAGAAGTAATGAAAATAGTGGAAGACTACCAATGCTAGAGGAATTTTTGGATGTGTCACTATCCAGGCTTGCGCTTGGCGCATCAGAACCAGGAAACCTATTGTTAGCATCTACATAATCAGCATTTCCATTCTTGAATAACTGAATTCCTGACAAATAAGGGACAAAATAAGCACGAAATGCAAAGCGATCAGCACCCAATCTCTTCGAATCTCCAAGTTCCTCAGCCCTTATTTCCAGACCATAGCTACCATATTTCTCATACCACTGCCATAGGCTTCCTAAACTGATGTCAGGTGCCTCATGTCTGCACAATGGCACACCCCCAACCTGACCAACCTGGTTCCTTGAGCAGCAAGTATGACAACTTACAGAATTGGGTGACTGATGAATAGCTGGGGATGAATGATAAAGAAGTCTTTCAAATTCAGCAATGGGGCGACCAGTGGCCATTTGAACAGCTTCGGATGCCAGTTGTGCCCTACAAGCATTATTTACTGCTTCTAGTATTCTGTTTGAATCAGCTTCAAATGCATTTACATCTCTAGGTACGTCAGAGTTTTTGATGTAGTTAGCTGCATTGAGCTTGTTATTGATCAGTTCTTCAGTTGTGCTTGGTTTTGGAAGCCTTCCCTCGAATCCGTTGGAAGAACAAGTTAAGTCTCCAGAACTTTGACCTGGGAACACTACTGCAACATCAGAAACAGGATTGTGAGTATTGAAAGCTGCGTACCCTTTAGCAGTGTCTTTAAGAGTCCATCTCCTAGAAGCTGCCTCATCAGAATGTTCAAGTGATGAACTGCCAGATCTAGTAGAGTTTGTCAATCCGGGATTCTTTAACCCAATTGGCATCCACTTGTGCGTAAAAGATCCAGAGGTACTATAGTTTTTCCTGCTTTCCGCAAGAGAGGTTTGTTTCTGTACTTCTTGACTTGCTGTATTACAATGTAGACGAGGAAGGTAAACTGGAGACTGCATTGTGCTACTCTCATTTCTTACACTTTGATTCTTCATGTGAGAGACACTATTACCGACACTTTCAAGATGAGCCATTTCATTTGGACAGAGTTGCATGCTGGGAACTGATTCAGAAGTCATGCATTCTACTTTGCTGCTCTGAAAGCCAGCGCTCAGACAGCTAGGCAGAGAACAAGATCTTGTAGCAAGATCTAATCCTTTGTTGTCCTTCGCCTGATCTGTTATATCATTCTGTTCTATCCTATCCTTCACACAACCATCTAAGCCGGACATGCTGGCATGAGACCCCTTCCTAGAATAACAATTGTATTCTTGTTTCAAAGCCGGATCACTCTTTCTTTTCAATTTCTTTGAAGCCTTAACTTTTTGCTGTTTTCTATCCTCACTCTTTGGAAAGGCATTTACATCAGCAGCATTACAGGTTCTTTTAAGAAAATGAGACTCTCTCAGAGGGAGATCGTAACGTGAGTAAACAGAGCTTGCTTTCTTCAACTCACCAGTGCAGTCGCCGGAATCATTCCTCTGGACCTTTTGCCAGACAGACTGATTGTTTTCCTTCCCTGTACGAGCATGCAGATTTCCAGAACTTCCAAATTTAGAGACATTTGAATTACGAGGTGCTACTTTGTTTTGTTTACTTCTCTTGTTAAGCGCAACGAGTTGCACGTCACTGTTGCTACGACCCTGAATACCATGCCTTGTTCCCTCAGTGTGGTCGTAGGAGTCCATGGAATCATTTAACAAGCTTTGACAAGAGAAATATCCCTTTCTTGAACATAATCTTGGCGGTTCAGAAATATATAATTCGTGAATTTCAGTCTCAGCATGTTTTTCATCACGACCAGCATTAGTACTATCATCACTGTATGAACCAAATGAAACTGCATCCAAAATGAATGAGTCATGGATATCAAAGTAGCCTTTGGTATACATATCATTGTAACAGCTTGTCTGTGGATGAATACCTTGCACACCGTTGAAGATGGGAAATCCAGAGTCCTTGAGCAGAACCTGATTTTCAAAATTACCAACAGACGGTATACCCGCCTCATCACTTGAAGAGGTGAATGTATTTGGCGTTTCAGAATTATTGGCACCACCATCTGGCAATGAATTATCTGGTGCTGTTGAAGACAATGGTCTGTCCCCACCATTGTTACCACAGGTTTTAGATGCTGAACTTCCATTGGGATATTCCTCAAACAGCACTTCCGATTCATTAGAGCCAGTGTTGCATGAAAACTTCTTGTTCTGTTTTCCCTTCTTTATATTCTTCTTTCTCGAACTTCTTTTTGCGGTGTTGTCTATTTTTTGGTTGCCGATACTCATATTTGATGAGTTAATAGCATTAGAACCATTTGGGATGGCACTTGCGGAATCACTGCGGGTTATTGACTTGTGAAAAGATTTCCTAGGAACTCCATTCCACTTAGTAGCTTTATTTGTCAAGGTCTTATTTCGAGGTTGGTGTCGCACGCTTGAACCAGTGAAGCTTCTACTTGCAAATGAATTGACAGAATAAGTGGCGTCAAGAGGAAGCACTTTCTGAACCCTGTGTCGATTAACCTTGAATGGGTTCAATGGGGGCGGGTAAAGCAGATGCAGAGTATCCATATTCACCGGAGTATCAGATACCGACTGATTTGTATTGTAAGGACATTGTGATGGTAGTGCTACGATTCTCCATTGTTCATCAGGTTTAAGGGAAAGGAATGTAAAGATACCACACCTGAAAAGCCAAATAAAAAGTCATTCCCCAGCAAGGACCAGAAAATAAAAGGTACAAAAGCTATGATAATCTTAGCGGTGTCTAACAAACGCTGACGTGCAGTATGTTACGTATTAGATGTATTTATGATGATTAAGTAATACGCAAAATCATCAAAGCATATACAAACTCAATTTAGTGGATTAGTTTCACCGTATAGCTGTGAGAAACAAAGCAATTAGGCAATGGAAACTGAAACAATTTTACCTACGATCAGAGTTCCTCCATGTGACGGAAGGCACTTCACAATCCTGAGCAAGGTAAGCCGCAGAAGACTGGTCAGATAATTGTTTTCAAGTCATAGCCGAGAAGTGAAGTGCATCAAAATTGATTTGTAAAATAGACATATATTACCTCCAAAGATGTTCTAGAACTTTTTCGTTGTTTCCATACTAACAAATCTCTTCTTCTGTCTGAAATTTTCTGGACATCATTATCACTGGTGGTCCTTGGAAGGGCACAATGCATCTTTTGCCGTGCCTGCCCACTTCGTCGGCATAAATAAAACAGTTAGTGATGTTCTAATACAAAACTATAAGGTGCTAATGTAATCAAAACCCAAACACTTCACAGCATCAGCAAGTTAGATTTTACAATTACAGTGCATTGAGAAGAACCCCAACTTTTAGCACTTTTTCACAATCAGCACACGCATTAGTTTCGGTAGTTTGCATTGCACATTTTCAGCACATTTTCAGCAACCAAAGTCGGAATCCTCTAATGCAGAAACATCATCGGACCTTCTCACTACCAACTATTATCTATTATCACACCAGACCAGCCTTATATTGATAACAAACACAAGAGAACCAAATCGTAGCATCTTCTCTCTATCCTAGAATCCAAATCAGTGGGCAACCTATTATCACACCAGACCAGCCTTATGACATTCTCAGAAGCGTTGTGTTAGGCTGTTAGCTAGCGGCTTGACCTGTCCCGTAGTCATATATTGATTGCATCCAAAATTCTTATTGCAGCTCAGACATGGCTTATTGACACACCTTCGTCCTGCAACCTTGGTTTGTCGAAAAGCCTGGTTTTCTATTGGATGGGTTTGGCTTTGGTTTACAAGTTGCATCCGTCCACAAAAACTTGCAAACACTAACTAAGACAACAATTACAAAGGTAACACAAAACACAACAGTAATGCCTTAACCTTAATTCAATCAAATGAGGCAACGATACTAATGTCAATCCACACGAATCAATTAAGTTAATCACGCAACTAAAACAACAATTCCAAAAATAAAAGAACATTTTTTTCTCCAAACATCCATAATCTGCAGATAAAAGAACATAGGATTGAAGGCAAAGTACCTCAAAGGTGTTCAAGATGAAGGTCGAAACACGAACAAAGCCTTATTCGCTTTTATCCTCACACAGGTGAAGGGCATTGATTTCATAACACACAAGCTGGCAAAAATAACAAAAAGGATTGAGACTGAAAGCAGAAATGCAAAAATGTGGATAAAAAGGAAGAAAAACAGAGAAAATAGAAACAAAAATGGTTTGCTCACAATCCTCAGACTAAAAATTCTATCTACAACCCACTCATTAAATTTAGACAGAAACCCAGCTAAGTTTATCCCAAAAAATACCCAAAAATATGAAGAAAAAGAGGAAATTCCCTAAAAAAATAAATCAAAAGAAGTGGAATTGACTGACTTGAACCATTGATTAGGAATCTAGTACTAAATTTGACAGCAACCCATGAATCAAAATCTTGGAGTAAAAAAAAGTCTAAAAATGCAAAAAGAAAGATTGGATTGTATTTGCAGAGAAAGCTCCCCAAATTTAGGTGTGAGGCTGAGAATAACAAGAGCTAAAATTACTGTGCTGATTTCCCCAAACCAAATCTCACCCAAACACCTATCATTCTTCCACCTCTCAAAACTTCCCTCCCAATCTCCCTCCCATTTCATATTATTATAGTTCCACATGGTAAAGCTTTCTTCTTGCCTATAAATACTTAATACTTTTTTTTTTTTTTTCTAATCAAGTTTTGCATGCAAGATTAGAGCTTTCGAGCATATATGGGCACTACGCTACACTACACTACTAGGCTAGTAGCTACCACATTCAAGAGTGGGGATGGCAAACTTCATAAGTACTCCAAATTTATTGCAGGGGAACTATTTCCACACTTTTCGTGTTATCTTCAATCACGTTCTTGAGAAACAAATAGTGTGTGTCATAGATGGTTCTCATGATTATTATAATTTAGCGAGTGGTATTAGCTAATGCCACATTATGTACAAGTTTTTTTCTTTTTTCTTTTTTTGAGTCAAGGTTAGTAAGTTATATTAGCCATTAATGGGATTCGACACCCTTCCACCTTTCTAGATGAAACTAGAGAAGTGTTTCATTATGATATGGATAGCGCTTTTATCTTTTATGTTATTCTTAGGATAGGGCCGACAGACTTTCTATAACATTATAACCTAACCAAAAAAAAAAAAAAACGAAAAGGAAGATTTTTAGTATTATTAATTTTAAATTAAATTAATAGCCATAACTCAAACTAATAAAATGGCTATATCTAACCATTCCGTTAATTTAGAATTAGAAGATAATTCTTAATAAAATTATTTATTAAATAAATATGAAATTATTTCGAATTATATATAACTAGCCTCTTGCCACATGCATACACGTGTGGCAATTGGCCTTTTTATAATTTTTTATTTAAATAATTAATTTACATATTTTTAAAAAATTATTAAAAAAATGAATTAATGACTTGAAACCACCCACTAACGTGGGAGGTTTTGTTTTTTTTTTCTTTTCTATAATTTTAAATATTAAATTCATTCAAAATAAAAATATGGTTAAATACTTTAGCTTCTCTTGGTTCAATTGTAATTTATGAAATTCTTAAAGGGCAATTTATGGTATTTTAAATGTTTCACCATTTTAGGATGCTCACTTTATATATATAGATAAGATAAATAATAATATTATAAGATTGTAATATACAATAACTATAGAAAAGAAATAGAATAAGATTCTAAACTTAATTACATTACTCGATATGAAATTATTTCGAGTTATATATAATAATTATAGAGCATGGGACACGTGTGAATCAGCAAGGACCATCTTGTAAGGCTAAATATACTCATGGGTGATCGATAGTGAAGTAGTACCGTGAGGGAAGGGGTGCCACTTGCTATCAACAAGTTATATTCTCTTAATATTGTACTTTTCTCACATTATGTAATTAGTCTCTTATTTTTCCTTTAATTACTCTTCTTTTCTATTTTTTCTGTCATTTTATATAATTTTTTTCTCCTATCAATAACAAAATCACGACTCCTTGTTTCTTTCGTGTTTTTTGGTTAAACAAATGGGGCTAAACGCTTAACAAAAAAAAACTAAAATAAAATATAACGAGCATCCAACCCCAAGAGATGCAAGAGAGTGATAATCATTTTTGATAAAGAGAAATAATTCTATTTGCTAAAATGGTTATTGAAATTGGTATAATTTCTCATTTGTCTTTTTATCTGAATTTGTTCTCCGAAAATTATTTTGATTTTTCAAAAAAAAAATTGTCGATAATTGTTTTTGGTAAAGATAAAAAGACAAATAATTCGAAAGGATAATTGTTTTTTGGAAAAAACGAAAAAAAAAAAAACTCCAAAGGAAAGACGACAAAAAAAATGGCGTCAGAGAAATAGAGTAGATACAGAGAGCATGGAAATGGAATGAAAAGAAATGTTGGTTAGTCGCAGCTTCCTCTTCTCTCCGATTAACAAACTCACCGTCTTCTCCCAATCCCAACCCCAACACACTCGCCTTCTCTTACAGTCTCATCGGATTCACACTATGGCAGCGGAGGCCGCCACCACCAACACCTCCAATGCGACGGCGAAGGCCGCGGGGATGGACTTCCTGACGAAAAAGGTCTACACTCCTCCTCCTTGGGCGTCCCACATCAACCCCATCCCTTCTCACACCTTCTCTCTCGGACACGTAAAAACCCAATTCTCTTCTTCATCTGCTCATATTTGTCCATGCGATTACTGTTTCTAATTGTATTGATTACTGATTAGCAGCTGATTTGTGTTTGTTATCGCAGCTTCCGACTCCAATTCACAAATGGAATCTTCCCAATTTGCCCCCCAACACTGAGGTCTGGTTAAAGGTATTTTCTTTTACTTTTTTTCTCTCTGGTATTTGATTTCCTATAGAAAAATACCATTTGGGTTTTATCATTTGTGTGATATATAATGATTCATGTACACTTTGAATTGATAATTTATTACTGATGAATGCTCAAATCAATTTAGCTTTCACTCAATCAAATATCGAGACTTTAACCGCGAATTTGACGAAAATGTTGCATCTTTTGTTGAAGTTTATAACTTTATTGAAACTTCAGAGCTGGATTTGTGGATTTGATGCCCCCCATGACTTATGTGTAGAATTATAGTTTGCAATTTTTGAGGTGTAAATATATGAGTTGTTACTTTTGTTTTATGTCTTCACTTTCCTGGTTTTACACTGACAGAAGTATTTGCAAATATCTAGCGTGATGATCTTTCGGGAATGCAACTGAGCGGTAACAAAGTCAGAAAATTGGAGTTCTTAATGGCAGATGCGGTAGAGAAGGGTGCGGACTGTATCGTGACGATAGGGGGCATCCAAAGCAACCACTGTCGTGCAACTGCAGTGGCTGCCAAGTATCTCAATCTTGACTGCTATCTCATTCTACGTACTTCAAAGGTTGATTTCTGTCTCTAAGTTTCACGACTTGTTTTTATAATCAAATTGCTTAGTGCCTCTTGACCTATTGCAGGTTCTTGTCGACCAAGATCCTGGACTGACTGGCAATCTCCTGGTTGAGCGTTTAGTTGGAGCTCATGTTGATTTAATTTCAAAAGAAGAGTATGCAAAAATCGGGAGTGGGGTATGCTAGTTTTTCCTTTCTTGTCAACAGTGTCTATTTCTTTTAAATTTTCCTTTTAATATTTTTATGGTTCAAGTCTGAAGTTGAAAACAGTGATCACTGGCTAAGTAATTCTATTAAGACTTGGTTGTTATGAACTGCATATCAAGTTATCTTTATTTTTTAAATGGTCCATCGCTCAACAGATTGGGAAGAAAGAGCATACAACCAGTTATTTTACCGTTTTACCATTTTGTATTTCTTTTGGGGTCAAGAACATGCATTTCTGATAATAATGAATTTATATATTTCGATTTCTATTACTATAGTGATTTTGATTCTTATATTAAATGTGGTCCCAGGTTCTCACTAATCTCTTAAAGGAAAAACTACTAAAAGAAGGAAGAAGGCCATATGTTATTCCTGTTGGCGGATCAAATTCCCTCGGAACTTGGTGAGATTGGGTTTGTATTTCGATTGAAATCTTCATGGCTAGTCTGTTTTGTGCAAAAACTCTTTTTATACACTTTCGTATTTATTTTCTCTATTTTCTTTCAAGTGCCATATCTATTCTTCATTAATTATTTTGTGTTCCTAAATTGGATGCAATATCTTTGCTTCATATTGGAAATGAGAAATCTTTAATATTTTTTTTGACTTTTCAAGCTTTAATCTGTATTTAGTACTGGTAAATGTTCTTCACAATAATCCATGATGACTAATATCATATGGTATAAACCTTATATTTGGGGTCTTCTAAATGAGAAGGAGGGGCGAGGGTTTTGAGGTGTCAGTTTCTCATGATGGTTTAATGTTTTTTTAAGGTTATAAAGTTTGAAATCCAATATTCCTTGATTTTGTGCTCACTGTTGATCATAATAGCTGTCGTTTAGTTTTTGTTGATATCACGTTGTGTATTTTATTATATTCAGGGGCTATATTGAAGCAATACGTGAGATTGAGGAGCAGCTTCGGAGTGGAACAGACAAAGTAAAGTTTGATGATATTGTGGTTGCTTGTGGCAGGTTCTCTATGCCATCTCTTATTTTTTATTGGATTTAACTCCAATTTATTTTTGTGAAATGGAAAGATAGTGCATATATGTCACCCTATAATTGTTTATGTCGATTGTGATTAATATCACTTCCCTCTAATTAATGTTTTTATTTTATCGATTTCCAGTGGGGGTTCAGTTGCTGGTTTGTCATTGGCTTCTTGGCTCAGTTCGTTGAAGGCAAAAGTATGTCATTAGCTTCCTTTGTGTAGATAATCAATTCGCTACTCCTTATGTGTCATGTAATTATTTGTTCCTTTGCTCTGCAGGTTAACGCATTTTCTGTCTGTGACGACCCTGATTACTTCTACGACTATGTTCAAGGCCTACTTGACGGGCTTGAGGCAGGTGTTGATTCACGTAATATTGTTGACATTCAGAATGTGAGTATCGTATCAGATTAGTCTGTTAATTCATAGTACATATTCTTTTGAGGCTGATCTTACTATAATGGTTGTAATTTATATCCTAAACTGTAAACTCCAAAAAAGGAAGTAATTATATATTGTGGTTCGACAGGCCAAAGGTCTGGGCTATGCAATTAACACCTCTGAAGAGATTAATTTTGTCAAGGAGATTGCTGCGACCACTGGGATTGTTCTTGATCCAGTTTACAGGTCCGTAACAGTATTAGTTTCCACTTTGTTATTACCAAAATTCATGAGTGTACTTTATATTTCCAGTCAAGAATTTTAATCAATTTTACTGTGTTCCTCGTACAGTGGCAAAGCTGCTTATGGAATGATGAAAGACATGGCTGAGAATCCAAAGAAGTGGGAAGGAAGAAGGGTCCTCTTCATACACACAGGCGGGCTACTTGGGTTGTACGACAAGGTAGAACAGATGGCTCCATTGTTGGGAAATTGGCGTCGGATGGATGTCAACGAATCTGTTCCTCGGATTGATGGTCTCGGGAAAATGTTCTAAGGCTCGAGATAAATCAAAGAAGTGCTCAGTTTATAAGGGTGAGATCAAAATCCTCAAATCGAAGTGTATGCTGTACTGAAGGATGCATAAGAAATTATCTCGTATTAAATAAGAGTAGTTGTATTGGAGATTTGTAATTCCTTGTGGTCTGATGCATGTTTGTTAATGGAAATATGATTGTTGTTTGTGTTGTGTCTATCTCTCTATCTAATGTTGTGAATTGCAATTTTACCTGTTGCTTAAGAATCCGTCGTCCAATAGCGTTTCCCCTATTTTGGACCAATATTTTTTCCCTATTTTGGACCCTATTGAATTCCTATTTATAGAATTACACGATCACATTCCTAAACAATATTTACTCAAAGAGGAGAAAAATCTGTGTTACTCAGAGAACAGAGAATAGTGTAAAAGAGAAAGCAGAGACCATGGATGCAAAGAGAGCAGAAACCATGTATAAAATGACATGCCTTGCAGTCGCAGCTTCCCCGTTCATCCGATCAACACAATGGAAGTGGACGCAGACACCAACAGCTCTGACACCGCTGTGAAGGCGGTGGCGATGGACTTCCTGACCAAGAAGGCCTACGCTCCTCCGTCTTGGGCATCCCATATCAAGTCCATCCCTTCTCACACCTTCTCCCTCGGACAAGTAAAACCCATTTCTCTTCTTCCTCTGCTTTTATTTCTCTACTATTTGATTACTGTTTCTGTTTGTTATTTGTTATCACCAATAACTTTCTAGTTTCCAACTCCAATTCATAAATGGAACCTTCCCAATTTGCCCCCCAACACCGAGGTCTGGTTAAAGGTACTTGCTTTTGCTTTTTTCTCACTGGTATTTGATTTCCTACACAAAATCCCATTCGGCTTTTGTAAATTGTGTGACTTTTGGGGTCCGTTTGGAAATGATTATCGAACGGCTAAAAGTGCTTTTCTGAAAGCCAAAACGCACTTACTAGCTACGTTTGTTAGAAAAACTTAGAAGTGCTTTATGGAGAAGCGCCTTTCTAGCATAAGCACTTATGAGCCAAAGTTCTTTCTACAAATGCAGTCCTAAACAAGCCCGAAGCTCCACCTAATCAAATATTGAGACTTCTGAATAAATACGCTGCTTTTTGTATGCAAGTTTTCTTAATCAAAACTTCGATAAGCTCTTTTCGAGGTGTAATTCATTGATTCGTTGTGAATATCTGGCGTGATGATCTTTCGGGAATGCCAGTGGGCGGTAACAAAGTCAGAAAATTGGAATTCTTGATGGCCGATGCCGTGGCAAATGGTGCAGACTGTGTCATAACGATAGGGAGCATCCAAAGCAACCATTGTTGTGCAACTGCAGTGGCTGCCAAGTATCTCAACCTTGACTGTTATCTCATTCTAAGCACCCCTAAGGTCAATTTCCATCTCTTGCTTTTACTGCTGGTTTTAAAGTAAAAATATTCTTTTTAATCAAGTAAGTTATTCCGCACACTCTTTGCTTAATGCATCTTGATGTACTGCAGGTTCTCTTGGACAAAAACCCTGGACTGACAGGCAATCTTCTCGTCGATTGTTTGGTTGGAGCTCGCGTTGTATTTGCTGCAAGAGAAGAGTGTGCAAAAGTCAGGAGCATGGTGTGTTGTGTTTCCTTTCTAGTCAGCATTGCCTTTTTTATTGGTTCAATAGCAGTTATGTTGAAGTACCCGGAGCCATTTACGTCTAAAGTTCAGATTGGTGAAGCTTATCAAGCAGAAGTTCCTGACTGGTGTGATCAAAATTCCTAAGTATGTCAATTGTTTCTTGTTCTGTGCATCTGTTGTGGTAGCTAGTACTATCTGTTTAATTGAGTTTTTTTATAAATTGAGTTTAATATTACAGGACTCCACTGTCTGAAGTCGAAACAGATGACGGGGATTGTTCTGTTGCTGTTGTTTTGGACCCATCTCCATCTGATTGTGCTGGCCCTCCTCCGCAGGTAATTTAATTTTCAACTGGTTGCATTCTCTCTTTCTAAAAAAATTTCCCTCAAGTACGTTTACTTTGTTAGTCCAACAATGGCACTGCACAAGTAAATCTTGCATGTCAATTGTATATTTATTCAGCAATCAAGAAAGTTGAAGGAAAACGATTTCTGCACGCCCCTTCTTTTTCTTCTCTGGAATCCTGTTTATTTCTGTCTAATGATTCTCTTTTGATTTATTCAATCAAAAGACGGATGGGAGAGAAGGGTCACATCCTAAGTTGAAACGAAAATCGCTTCCTAAGTTGAAACCATAAAAGATAGCTTGCTTGCTTGATTGGTTTGAAGTTTGAACAGAAGAATTTGATGACATATACTAGTCTAGATGATCTTGCATCTTCTTCAAGTAGTAACTTTTCCTGTTTTACTTTGTTCATGTGGATTTAACAATTGCTTATTTGTACTTGCCGTGTTTGCATTGCTGTGTGTAGATGGCATCAGAAAATGGCATTGCTTCTAGAAGGAGAAAACTAGAAATGGTGGAAAGCCCCGGAATTAAAAGTCTAGTGAGTGATGAAATTGAGGTTCTACCGTAAAACTGATTGGCAATATGGGGAGTAGTCCAAGACCATATAAGCACATAACAAACCTTGTTCCTCACCGATGTGGGACAACTCTCAACAGTGAGTATGCATACATACGTAGGTCGAACCTTTTTCTTCGTACATACGTAGAACCTTTTTCACTTAAGGGCGCTAAACAGGTAAGAAAACACGTCTTAGCGTCTCTTCATTGCCTGTTCAGCGTCCCTTCAGCGAAAAAACATCTATCTTCCATTGACGATTTTTGAAATTAGAAAGTTTATGAAGTGAAATCTTCTCTTATTTGTCCAGTTTTGGCACACTACTCATGTACGGATCAGACGTTAAAGGAAGAAATTACAAAGTTTCTGTATCTGTATGAGTTTATGCCTCCAAACTCCAAATTACGAATACAAAATGGTAAGTGATTTTGGGATCACAGGTGAAAACCTTCTGCATTTGTATTTAAGCCATAGGAATTAGAACAGAAGAGTGTCTTTTTAGTTTTTCTTTTTCTGGCTTTTTTTTTTAATTTTCTTTTTATTAAGGGAGGAAGATTCGAAATTATTACAATAATTAAAAGAAGTAAAAAATTTCGAACCACATAAATAAAAATTCAATATCCTATCTATTAGGATATTGGACCCCACGTGAAGTGTCTTTTAGTTAGCAGATAGCAAGCCTTCCTCCCGTTTTTCACATCTGTTGTGAAATTAGTTTAATTTTTTATTTTTGGTTGGTTCGGGTCCCTGACACTGACTCACTGGTGGGGTCAAAATTTGTAATCAAAGTTATGATAACGTGATGAGAGAAAGTTTGTAATCAAAATTATTGTGATAAGAGAGATAGAATAAAGGAATATACTTTTGGTTACAAAATATGATTTTCCCAAACAATACTATATGAAAATTTTACTCATCAATAATTATGATATTTGCAAATTACTGAATTAAGTCGATTGCTTGGTATGGCCTACCCTCTGTAGAAACGTAAGCAATACATGAACAATGTTATTTTTCACGAGAGAAATTTTGATTGGACACTCAGTAGGACAGCTCATATAAGAGGAGAAATCAACACAATATAGCGTTTTTGTCGCTTAATATTACAATTTAGTAGTATTTCTCTCAATTTGTAAGTGAAATGTTTTATATTCTATTATATTATTACGGTTAGTCTAGTCTTTCATCTATTTAGTGTATATAATATCATTTATTGATAAAAATCTTACAGTTTTGTGATAAGTGTTTTACAGATAAAGCGATTCAAGCGTTGTTTACCCAAGTTTATGTTTTATTTCTCGAAGTGTCCGTCAAACGAATCATAATCGTAATGTACGTGGAGCAATGAGACCGCATGAGAAGAGAAAGCCAGGCCAAAAGCCATCTTCCTGTCCAGTGTCCACCACCAGTCGGTCAACTTCAATACCAACAGCAATTCTTTCCTTGTGCTTCTTTGCTCCCTTGTTTTACTTCGCTTTCAAGCAAAAATCGTATTGAATTGTGTAAAGACGATAAGATTATATAGTTACTGGCTTATCGGGTCCGATCCGATCTGGGGGCCATATGCCATTACTCCATTTCTCCTTGGTTGTCAAAGGTTTGCGCTGCACCTACACGTTCCATTTCTGGACCACTTCGGAGTTCCAAACCATTTGCCACGTCCTTAAAGCGATTCATACCTAATCAGATGTTAACTACTACTTAACTTTGTGATTTACCAACTTCCTTTGATGTGATTAACTTAAATCTTATTGCATAATTACAATTTACTATAAACTATAGGAGCTGTTTTAGACGAGGAATATAAAATTATAACAGAAATAGTGTGTAATGATTATGTTGAAGTGTCTTTAATAGCGCCTTAAACTAACTAGTTCATGCATTGTAATTTATAGTTGAACTAAAAATGTGGATGATTTAAAACTTGGAAGTATCCCGAAAAACTTGAGTAGGATAGAAGGCCACTTTGACCCCACTCTCACCACAAATATTTTAAAAAGGGTCATGCAACGAAGATTAAATTTATAAATTAAATAACATGAAAGTTGACGATTGGTGCTTAAACGTTAATAAACATGTTCATTTCCTATTAGTGACTTGTCATTTAATTTGTAAATTTTATTTATAAATTTAGTTTTCCTAACATTACTCTTTTAAAATTGTGATAATTTTTTATTAGACGGCCCTTCAAGTTTAACCGTGAGTCCCTATCGGAAATGCCCTCATAACCTATAAAAAAATGGGGCCACGTGGGCTTCACTGTCATCGATTTAACCCAATGATGGAACTCCACGGATGCTTGAAGACGTTCTGTTCGGAATAATTTTAACCATTAAATTTAATCAAATCCGCTCAATCAATGAATTCGGATATTTAAAATTTGATCAAACGGTTAAAAATAGAAAGTTCATTTAAAAATTATAATAATTTTAATAATTTTGATCTAATTTTAAAAGCTTTAATTTATTAATTGGATGAATTTGATAGAAGGAATCCGAATAGTATCCCTTTCCGTTTTGTTCTCTCTACCGACACAAGGTGGATAGAAAACAAGCAGGGTAGGGTAGGGTGGAGGAGTCGATAGCGATGTGTTTTTTTTTTTTTTTTTTGAAAACTCGATAGCGATGATTTTAATCATTAAGATTCCCTTAAAATAATGCATGGGTAAAATGGCCAACTCGCCAAATATTTTCAGTACGTGTCCTTTTTCTGCCATACGTTACGTGCTTCAAGACGTTATGCTTTTATTACTTTCCCGACTTGCTCCTTATTTATCATAAAGTTTTGAGATAATAGTATAAAACCATCTACTCCTCAGTTCCTCCTCCCTCACAACCTTCAGCTGCAGCTGCAACTGCAACAAGGCTTCATATTTTTGTTCCCTATTTTCTTCTTCTTTCTTCCTAAATTTAACAATTTATTGAGATGGTGATCTCAACGACTTCCGCTGAGCGTCGTGGAGAGCAGGTGAACTGTACCTTTGCTTCCAGATATGTGCGTAACGTCCTCCCTAAGTATGTTTTTCCACTCTTTAATTCCTTACTTCCCTTGTTTTTTTTTAATAAACACTAAGTAATATTAATGAAAGCTAGCGAGTTTTTACCAAGAATTAAGCAATGCGTACGTGTACGTGTAATTGTGTAGGTTTCAGATGCCGGAGACGTCGATGCCAAAGGACTCGGCGTATCAGATAATAAACGACGAGCTGATGCTGGACGGGAATCCGCGGCTGAACTTGGCGTCGTTCGTGACGACGTGGATGGAGCCTGAATGCGATCGGCTGATGATGGCTTCCATGAACAAAAACTACGTCGACATGGATGAGTACCCTGTTACTACTGAACTCCAGGTCAGCTCATCCATCTATCATCTCTTTTACTTTTACGGTAAATTTTTTTATGTTATCGGTTGTACATTGCATTCGTCTTTGTTTTTTTATTTTTTATCTTTCGTCAGTGATTTGACGAAAGAAATATTGCATGAAGAGTCTCTTCTAGGTATTTCTTCACTACTCATTATATTAATATTAATTATAACAAAGTTAACTTAATTTGCAAACAAAATTAAACGCCATCTGTCGAGATCTAGGAAGTATTGGAGCCAACAGGATCTTCTCCGGATTTTTTTGGTGAGGATTCTAGGATCTGTAAATCGTGTCCATTCATCATATATTATACGATCAATTTTTGTTAAGTATTGTTTAATAAAGATATTTAAAATAATTTTCGCCCACATGATGTACAATAAAAGTACACAATTCATGGATTTTCGAAATCATCAAGGATCCAGGATCCGGACTCGTATTGGAGGATGCAAGTCAACAGAAATATTACTTATAAATTCACTCGTGTGGGTCCAGAATGTAGTATATATGGGTGAGAGGATTAGGGCTGGGGATGGGATAACAAGAACCCAGATCTTTTTCGGATCTAAAAAAATTGAGCCTAAGGATCAAATGATTTAGACCGTTGAAATTTGATCCAACGGTTACAATGTATAACTTTTAGAGGGACCTCCTGTTTGTAGTCGTTGGATCAAATTTCAACGGTCCAGATCATTTGATCCTTAGGTTCAGTTTTTGTAGATCCGGATAAGATCTGGGTTCGGATAACAATTTATCATGTACACATGTTCTCTCTGTCACTTTTATGATCAATTATTTTTTTATTTAACATCAAAAATAAAGATTAAATAGATGCAAATTATGATATTTTAACCTTATTCTTTTTTAGACGAAATTCTTGTTGATGTTATTGATATTTTGATCTTATATTTTTTTAGTAAGCAATTTGTGTAAATGTTAATATGTTATCAATAAACTTGACTGTAATTTTATGTAAAAGAAAAATGCAGCTTCATTTGTGAGAACTACTATAACTAAAAGGTTACTAGTTAGACATTCAGCTTCGAAATTTTGACATTGTAGGTAACTTTTTACTCTTGTTGTACAACGATAAGATAAAAACAATCAAATGGAATTTCCAAGGACGAAGATTATATTTGCACAACAATATGCTTCTAACATTACGAGAACATAAACCTAATAATTTAAGTTAAAAGTTGTAGGATGATAAGATTATGGTAAATGTCTATTGTCCCAATTCAAACTTGCCATTTCTTGGTAATGTTGATATTTCTTGCTGTGGCTCTTTCAATGTAGAATCGTTGTGTGAATATTATCGCAAATCTGTTTAATGCTCCCATTGGAGACGGCGAAACTGCTGTTGGTGTGTCAACAGTAGGTTCTTCAGAGGCAATGATGCTGGCAGGCCTAGCTTTCAAAAGGAAGTGGCAGAACAAGAGAAAATTAGAGGGAAAGCCTTTTGATAAGCCCAACATGGTCACCGGAGCTAATGTGCAGGTCAGATTCTTACTCTGATGTCTTACATTTACGGGTTGTATTCAATTGAGATTTCAAAAGATTATTGATGCATGCCTAATATTATTTCTCCATCAAAATATATTCCGCAGGTTTGTTGGGAAAAATTCGCTAGGTATTTCGAAGTTGAACTGAAGGAGGTGAAGCTGTCGGAGGGATACTACGTGATGGACCCTGCGAAAGCAGTTGAGATGGTTGATGAGAACACTATCTGTGTTGCTGCTATTCTAGGCTCAACCCTAACAGGAGAGTTCGAAGACGTGAAGCTCCTTCATGATCTCCTTGTTGAAAAGAATAAGCAGACGGGCTGGGACACTCCCATTCATGTCGACGCTGCCAGCGGAGGCTTTATTGCTCCGTTTCTGTATCCCGAGCTCGAGTGGGATTTCCGCTTGCCGTTAGTCAAGAGCATCAATGTGAGTGGTCACAAGTATGGCCTTGTGTACGCCGGTGTTGGGTGGGTTGTGTGGAGGAGTAAGGAGGACTTGCCGGACGAGCTTATATTTCACATCAATTACCTTGGATCTGATCAGCCCACTTTCACCCTCAACTTTTCTAAAGGTACTGAATTATACATAATCTATCAATTTGCTATGTAGTATGTACAATTACTTTGCTTTTGGGTCTCAAAAACACTTTTTGAAGATGCGCCGGCTACCATGTGCATCCTGAGGAAACAGTTTTATGTGCTTCTACCTGTACAATCAGTCCCTAATCGATTCCCTAATTTTCATTACATACTGTGTAATATGTTGTGCTGTAGGTTCTAGCCAGATAATTGCTCAGTATTATCAGTTCATTCGACTCGGTTTTGAGGTAACTTTTGCTACCATTTCATACATAAAAACCTACGTCAGTTAAAATGTTCTCCGGTTTGATTTTACGCAAAATGATGTTTTATTGTCTGATTAATTTGTGTCTCTTTCCCTGTATGTGTTAGGGTTACAAAAATGTGATGGAAAACTGCATGGAGAATACAAGAATGCTGAAACAAGGACTAGAGAAAACAGGGCGATTTAAAATTCTCTCCAAAGACATAGGAGTGCCACTCGTGGCCTTTTCTCTAAAAGACAGCAGCAAGCACACCGTGTTCGAGGTAGCAGATAGTTTGAGGAAGTTCGGATGGACAGTTCCAGCCTACACGATGCCAGCCAATGCGGAACATGTAGCTGTTCTTCGCGTGGTTATTAGGGAGGATTTCAGCCGGGGCTTAGCGGAGAGGCTCATCTCAGACATTGACAAAGTTATGAGGGAAGTAGACACACTCCCGAGCCAAGTGTCTAGCAAAACTGCCCACGTCACGGCTACTGTCGATGAAGTAGTCCGTGACAGCGAGGTGGCTGTGAAGTCTACTGTTCATAAGAGCGAGACAGAGGCTGAGCAAGAGATAGTGTCGCGCTGGAAGGGGATTGTGAAGAAAAGAGGCGCATGCTAGGCAATATTTTTAGGAGTGATTGTGTTTGGTTTCTTCAATAATTAAGGATTGATTTGATTTGCCTGTGTAATCTTAATGACAGATTTCTAATTTATTAAAGTTTCACAGAAAGCACTTTTTTAAAGTACCAATTTTATCGTTTCATAAGCACTTCAAAGGCAATGTCTGAACTATTGATGACCTATGTTTGATATCTAATAATAATGGATTGGATTTGATAACTCGTTGGATTTAGGTGATGTTGAAAGAAAAACTACTGGCTC